GGGGGGGCCGGTCGCTCTGCCCCGGGGGTCGTTGGGTCTCCGCCCTAGTGAGAGACGGAGCGCGCCCATGGCGGAGAAGACGCAGAAGAGGTGAGTGTGCTGCCTGAGACACGCCCGACTCAGCTCTCCCCGGGGCCGGAACCTGGGGCTGGTGGCCAGTGCTGCGAGTCGATGGTCCCTAGGGCCCAGCGTCCGCTCGGACGGGTGCCGGCGGACTGGGGACGCGCAGGGCTGGGACCGGCGTGGAGTCGGTATCGGGAACCTTTTGTCTCTCTGTCCCGCTGTCACCGCGCCTGCGCAGAAAGGTCTCTGGCAGGGCGGAGGCGGATGACGTCGTCGCCTCTTATTACGCCTGCGCAGAAGAGTCTGGGTCGGGAGCTGTTGCAGTGATCCCAGCAGCGCGCCCCGCAGTTGGGTGCTCCGCAGGGCAGCGAGGGCGTCGGTCCCCTGGGCGCGCGGCGCGCCCCCCCGCCGAGACTGCCGGGAAGGGGGCGCCCCCTACTGGCTCTCGGCGGCGGAGAACCCACCGTTCCGGGGTCACACGTGGGAATTCGGATTTTCCTCTTCTGCACGACCGCGCTCTCCGCCGCGGACAGCGGCCCCTGCTCGCCTTTGGGCGCGGTGCCGTCCCGGTTAGTGCGGGCCCGCTCGGGGACGGGAGCAGCTGCGGGGAAGCGCCGGCCGGGGCCTCCCCGGGCCTCCCCGCCTGCTCCGGGCTAGTCGCTTACCGGAGGGGACGGTGAGGACCGGTGGCGGGGACCGGCCTGGCTCGGGCTGGGAGGATGACAGTATCAGGGCCGCAGCTGATGGGCGGGGAGGGTCCCGGATGCCGCCTAGGGGAGGCGGTTTTAGCAATGGTGGGCTCTCCGATGGGGAGGTGAGCTTACATGGTAGTCTGGGTGGTTTATGACCCTGTTTGTTTTCTTGTTTTTGAGGTTTTTGCCAGAGGGCGTCTGCGCTCGCCAGGCCACTCCTGCCAGGGTGGATGACCACCCTGTAGTCCCTCCAGTCTCCTCCGGGCATGCACGCCTGGTGTGATTTTCAAGCCCAATGTGCGGTCGAGGACTTGAACCGTGACTTCCCACGTGGGGGGTCCAACGCCTTAACCACTCTACCACCTGATCCCCCGGCCTATTACCCGGTTTTCTGGGGCCAGCAGGCTGTCTCTGTGCTGCTCAGAAGGCAGGTGGTCAGTGGAGAGCTGCCCTGAAGGCCCCTCTGAACGCCAGTGCTGAGAGCTCTGCCTTGAACTCACCAGTCTCCACCGTGGCCTCATACCCGCCTGGTCCGCAGTCTGTCTCTGGCCTGTGGGGCTGTCCCTGGAGCAAGGCTGCCCTGCAGAAGCTGGCTCAGTGCACACAGGCAGTGTCAGGGCCACACCCCAGGGGCAAACCCACCCAGAACTGCTGGGGTAGAGCCCATCCCTGCTTGCCTCACTAAAGCTTTGCCGCTCTGTCCCACATGGTCCCAGTTGGGCAGTCCTGGCAGTGGACCCAGCCAGGCAGGGGTGGGTGAGCTGCCCTGCTCGCAGCCCGCCCCAGCTCCGGGACTGACTTTGCCATTCCGGGCATGCGTCGTGTTTCCAGGGGCTCCTCAGACTCGCTCCTTTTCATCACCTGTCTTGTTTTATGGCCTTTCTCTGAACTAATTATTGGGTTCTTTGTTTTTGTGTTTATTTTTAAGTTTTCACCTGCCTGAATCATCTCTCTTCCCTCTACCTTTTTTTCCTCCCTATTTTTGTTTGTTTTTAGTTGGAGGCTTTCCCGCCCTACCTGGTCACTATGGGCTCTGTCCATTACTGTGACTGAGGACCAGACCCTGGAGGCCCTCGGTGTGCCCCAGGCATGTCCTCTGATGTGGCTCTGGGTGGGGCAGGTGACTCCCCTACCAGGAGGAGCTGCCGACCTGCCTGCTCCACCTCCCTCTGGGTCAGCCTCTGTGCACTGGGACCTGGAGGGCACTGATCTGTCCCCTCGGCCTCCCTAAGTGCAGCGTCTCCAGGCTGGGCCTGCTACTTCGGCCTTCCAGAATCTGCCAGGTTTTCCCCTGCCGTTATGCTCTCTCCCACAGTCTGCTCCTCCTGCCCCTGTTGGAGTGTCCGTGTGCTCACCAGAGAGGAGAAGCACCCCGTGGGTGTGTCGTGGCACAGTCCCTTCTCTTCCGTCCCTCCACCCTTCCAGGGTTCGGGGCACACACAATGCATCTGGTGTGTGTTTCAAGCCTCCTGGCTGGAATTCGAACCATGATCGACCACGTGGGCCAGGGCGCCTATCAGCACTAGGCCCCAGGCCCAACCCTCTGCTCTTGAGCAATGCTTTCATCCCTCTCCTGGAGACCCACGTTGGGGAGCGGGGCTGGGGAGGGGCAGGACGTTGGCGTGGCCTGGGCGTCTAGGCCCGGCCTCACGTCGCTAACAGAAGTGCCAAGCAGTTCTGGCTGAGAAGGGGCGGGGGCAGACTTGTGGCAACACATGTCCTGCACCGGCTGGCTCAGGTGCCTTCCTCCTGGTCCCATACCTTCCACAACGGGTGTGGGGCCATGGCCTGTCCTGTTGCCAGGACCCCGAGGCCCCGCCCTGACACTCAGCGCCCACCGAGACCAGATCCTGAAATGTGAACTTCAGGGACAAGCCGTGACGTGAGGGTGCTGGAGCCGGAGTCTGCTCCCAGCGTATGCTCTCTGCTGATGGCCATCAGGGTGGCCGAGTGCTCTGCCGTTCTGAGTCCCATGCAGGGGCCAGTCAGTACACGCTTTCTGTCACGTTACCTGTAGGATTCCAGAAGCTGTGGAGCCTTGGGGCTGTCTGAGCCCTGACGTGTGTCGACTCAGCCTTTGCGGAGGGTGCCCGATGTGCCGCACATGTGTACACGCATCACCGTGGGGTTACTCTCACAGTGCACAAGCAACCCCTTGTGGCCCGAAGGGAGCGAGGCCCTCAGTGACCGGGCACAGCGTCGACTGTCCCATGACACGATCCGTGCTGTGTGTGGGTGCTCCCGTCCCTGCAGTGCCCTGAGCAGTGAGTGACGGCACAGCTGTGACCAGGCTGGAGATGGCCATGAGCGTGGTGTAGTAGGTCAAATTCGTGGTCACCACTGTTTTTTATTTTTTTAATTATTTATTTTTAGTTTTATTTATTCATGTATTTGTTTTAATTTGACCAGAGAGAGAGAAACTGAGAAAGCAAGCCACAGTCGGCCATGTGGGAATGTCCAGCGCCTTAGCCACCGCGCCACCTGCTGGCCCCACCATTGTTTTTGAAAGAAAACAGAAGTGCTAATAAGTAATAACTTTACCCTCTATTAAAGACAATTTCGAAGCAGTGGGGAAAACGACAGCGAGAATGGTTTCCCTCTCTGGAGGGAAACCAGGGAGTCCATGGACCACCCACGCTGCACGTCACTGTAGACAGCAGGCGGGAGGACACGGGCCATGCTCGAGAGGGCTCCGGGGAGGGGAGAGGCTCCACCGTAGAAGTCGCCCTGCATTTGGAGACGGGCCTGGGTCTTTCAGGCCTGGTCTTAAGAAAGTTTTGGGGTTTTTGTTTATTTTCTCCGGCCACCCTACTGCACTTGCAGTTTTCGAGTAGGAAACACCTCTCTGCCCTCCTCCCTGGGCCCGCGCCCGGCTCCAGCCCACTCTTGGAAGGCAGCCAGCTGTTGGCCTCCACCAGCGCCTTACGGTCACTGGGAGTCCGCCTTCCAAAGAATGTCGTGAATCTTTCACGCTAAAAACAAAACAAAAAAAACTTCTGCAGTAATTTTTTTAATTAAAGAAGTATTGAGTGCCAGCAGTGGTGTGATGGTTAAGAGTGCTGGACTCCCACATGACCAACCGCAGTTCTAGTCCCGGACCTGGCGGCTTGCTTTCTCACTTTCACTCTCTCTCTCCCTCTCTGGTCAAAAATTTAAAATACATAAAGTTAAATCATTCTTTTAAAAAATAAAATATATTAAGGGGCTGGCAGGCGGCATGGTAGCTGAAGGCATTGGACTCCCACATTCAACCATGGTTCAAGTCCTGGGCCTGGTGGCTTTCTCTATGTCTCTGATCAAACTGGAAAAAAATAAGGTTACATAAAATAATTATTAAAAAAAGACATGAAGCACAAATAGAAAACAGTATTAAGTTTTAAACTGCGTGCTGTACGTTACTAGTGAGCGGGCGCCTGCTTGTGTATCTGACAGCTTGAGTCGTGGAGGGTCACGGTGACCTGGTGTCCCAGTCCTTGCTGACTACAGCACATACTTGGGTGAGAAACGTCTATGAAAATTTATGTTTTAATAATTTACTTAAAATGCAAACTCCTGCCTTTAAAGGTGGTTTCCAGGACTGTTCGATGGCTTGGAACTGGGGCGCCTTCCCTGGGAGGGGGACAGGCAAGTTGTCTGCTCTCCACCTCTTGTTGGCTGCGCCCGCAAGGTGGCCCCGGCTGCAGTGTGTGCTGGACGCTGTGATGTGTACTGAAGCCACACGGAGACCTGGGCTCTGCTCCTGGACCTCCCTGATAAAACTCGGCTTCCAGCTCCTCAGGAGGCTGGGGTAGGAGGTTGGCAGCCGACCACGACCTGCTGATGAGGTCCGAGCCAGGGAGAGAGGGCAGGAAAGGAAACAGGCGTGCAGAGAATCTAAATACAACTGCTTAGTCATAGGCATGAACGTGACTACGTGTAGGATTTGCGAAAATCTACTACAGAAGCTTCTTGAGCCTCGTATGTTGCTATGAAGTCAGTGTAGAGAATCACTGATTCTGCATGCTAGCGGCGAGCCCCTGGAGGTAAGATGTTTGAAAGTTATAGACAGCACACCTAGGGACCAGCCATTAGCGTAATGGCTATGTCGTTGGACTCCCATGTAGTCGACCGCGGTTTGAGTCCCGGACTCGGTGGCTTAAACTCATGCCAGGCGTGTGTGCATGCGTGCCCAAGATCCCGAGAGGAGAAGGGATTGCGGTGTGGCCATCCCCCCGGGGGGTGATTTCTCGCTTTCTGTCTCTCTGTCTTTCTGGTGAGCGCATGCGTCCTATAGCAAAAACCTCTAAAGAAAAAACAAAAAACAAAAAACAGCACACCTAAAATGGCACTGGTATCTCACAGAGGCTGAGAGCCGGTCAGTGCCATGAATATCATTACTGTTAAGGAAGATTCTTAGTGAAGCGAGTTCCCTGGTAGCACGACTTTACCGGAAAGTTCTAAATGGTCGCACGGGCTCGGCTGGGGACAGCTGTGGCGTGGGACACATCAGGCGGGGTCAGGGACCGTCAGTAGGCAGCTTCCACCATGCTCATAGCACCGTGTGAACAGGGCTGTGGGTTGTCACTAGGGGTAGATGGAAATACCGCTACGCTTCAGATTCCCTAAATGGACATTCCCTTGCCGGTCGGTAAATGGTTGGAACGTCTTTCCTTTCCCCAGTTTACAAGAGCAGAGGCCTGTTACCTCCTGCCAGTTGTTGGCTTTGCCTTTTTACTTAACAGATAGCTTGGTGATTATTCCCAAGTGTGGACCCGAGGGCTACGACTTCTACTCAGTCCCCGTCCCCGAGTTACTAACCCGAGGGTTACGGTCCCCCATCGCTGCTCTGTCCCTGTCTCTGAGTTACTAACCTGAGGGTCACAGTCCCCCATTGCTGCTTGCTCCCCATCCCTGATTACTAACCCAAGGGTTACGGTCCTCCATCGCTGCTCGGTCCCGTCCCTGAGTTACTAACCCAAGGGTTACGGTCCCCCATCGCTGCTCTGTCCCTGTCTCTGAGTTACTAACCTGAGGGTCACAGTCCCCCATCGCTGCTCGGTCCCCGTCCCCGTTACTAACCCATTCCCACTGATGAGTGTCGTCCGGCTCTTTGTTCCTTAGATGTGACGCTGCTGTTGAGTGGAGAGAAAGGGCTGCAGGGCGCGTCCTGGGCACTCTGCAGTAGATCCCGTGTGCCTGCGGCCTGGTTTCAGTTCCTGCCTGTGCATACTGAGCCTGGCCTTGCCCGCCATCTCCTCAGGTCCTTACCCGTCCTCTGGCTGTGGCGTTGAGGTGGCCTGGTGCACTGTGTCCTGGCCTGTCACAATGTCACCTTCTCTCCCCACAGTGTGAAGATCGCTCCTGGAGCAGTTGTGTGTGTCGAGAGCGAGATCCGAGGAGACGTGACTATCGGTGAGACGAGCCTCCGGCACTTCCCCAGAGGCGGCTGTGTCGTACTCACGTGCTTTATCCCTTCTGCCAGGGATAGAGACAGGCCCTGTACAGGGTCCCCACCTCCCAGCCAGCCAGGACCACCACCTGCCCGGCAGGATCAGTCTGATCCACATCCGAATCCAGGCCTCTGAGACTGGGCCTCCCGTAGGGCTGGGTGTGACGCCTGGGGCCACTGCCCTGGGGGAGCCCCTATCTGACCGCCTGCCGTGTAGCTCTGCGCTGTCTCCTGTCTCCTGTCCCCCACCAGCATCACTTTGCTTGGAGTTTTGGGGTCGGCCGCAGGCGCTTACTGGAGAGCTGGAGGAAGATGGCTGTGCCACAGCCCCCCTGTCTCCTCTCAGAGTCTTAGGCACGCACGCACACACGTCTGGAGTGAGCTTTAAGCCTCCAGGTCTGGGACGTGACCCATGGTGGACTAGGTGGGAGCCCAGTGGCTGGCCTGCACACCGTCTGCTGGTCTTACAGTGCGTACTTTACTGACAAAATGCTAACTCTCCCCAGTGTGTTTAACACTTTTTTTATTTTTTAAGGTTTTTGCCATAGGAAGGGTGTGCTTGTGGGAGAGGAGACAGAGACGGAAAGTGAGAAATCACCCCCCCCCCCGGAGATGGCCCCACTACAGTCCCTTATCCTCCATTCTCCTGGGATTTGGGGCCTGCACGCACATGTGCCCAGCTTGAGTTTCAACCCAGTCTGGGACTTGAACTGCCGTCGACCATGTGAGAGTCCAACACCTCAACCACCACGTCGCTTGCTGGCCCCATGTTTAGCATTGAGAGGTTTTTGCTATAGGGCACATGAGCTCACCAGAAAGAGAGAGACAGAGAGACAGAAAGTGAGAAATCACCCCCCAGGGGGGATGGCCATGCTGTAATCCCTTCTCCTCCATTCTCCTCTCAGGATCTTGGGCATGCACGCACACGCGCCCAGCATGAGTTTAAGCCACATGGTTGACTACATGGGAGTCCAGCGACACAGCCATTAGCCAACTGCTAGTCTCCCTTTAGCACTTCTAAAAGTTGGGTGGGTGGAGGCTGTGGTTTCTATTGTTTTTGTTTACTTTAAAACGAGAGGGTCCATGCACAGCACACGTGCGTGAGTGGAGCCTGTCCACACCACAGCCCTGTCCAGCTCTCCATCCCATCTGGTTCCTGGGCACATGCACACACGCCTGATGTGTTCTTCAAGCCACCAGGGCTGGGACTTGAACCCTGGTCAGCCATATGGGATCCAGTTTGTTTTGTGCAGTGCTGGCTGGAAGGCCATGCCACCCTTCTGAGGGGCCAGCCAGGAGTTAGCCTCAAGAGCCCGTATGCCTGGGGTGAGCAGAGCAGGTGGGCCGCGGGAGCTGTACACCCGTCCCCGTGGTGCAGACCCTGTGTAGACCTGATGTGCTTCCTGGTTGTGCCCTCTGGGTTCCCCTGGTGGAGCGCTTGGCCTCTGTGCCCTTATTCTCCCCGTGGGATCACAGGTTCTGGCTGCACATCATGGGAGCTTAGACGTGTCAGGGTTATCTGTCATGGGAAGAGCTCAGAGGTCAGTCTCCAGGGCTGACCAGCCAGCGGCATCCAGCCAGGAAGGGTGGGCTGGGACCAGGCGCCATCCTGGACATGGCAGAGGGAGCAGGGCGGGAGTGTAGGACGCCGGGGAGGCAGTAGGCCAGGGGTCCCCGAGTCCCCGCTCGCCCTGTCATGGCCAGGACTCGTCTCCCGGACTCAGTGAGCTGCCCAGGAGGCTGGGAGACGGCCCCCTGGCCTCCCTAGTGATGGCAGGCCTGCAGGCAGAGGAGAGGAGCGAATCTCCAGGGAGTCCCCGCGGGGGACTTTCGGCCCAGGGAAGCTTCAGGATGCGAAAACCTTGGCTGTTGGATGCCTCTCTTGGCATTTTGAGCATGCAGGCACGAGTGCCGGGAGCGTCAGGAAGCTGGCTGGGACTCTAGCCGCACAGCCGGCCACGTGGGGTCAGCGGCCTCCCCTCCTGCACCCCCGTCCAGGTGGCCTGCTCTTTGCGGTGCTGTGGCTGCCCCGTCTCCAGCTTTGTGCGAGGAGAGCTCGTCACTGGTCCCTCCCTGCCTTGCGTCCGTGCTTTCTTCCCGGTTCGAGAACTGCTGCTTCCCCGGTAGCCCGTGGGGACGTCTGAGTCAGACGGGATCGAGTGAGGAGCAGTGGGTTATGTGGGTTCCCATTGCACTTCACTTCCTCCCCTCTTAACAGTAAGGATGCAGTGGACGCTAGGTCGGACAGGCGTGTCCACGGACAGCACAGATGGTCAGATCTGAAGTCCCTCCTGTTACGAACAGGAGCGCTTGGGACCACAGAGGCCCTGCCCTGTGATCAGGACAGAGCCACGTGTGGAGGCCTGCTGTCCCGGGCGGAGGCCTGCTGTCCTGTCCCAGATGGAGGCCCGCTCTCCTGGGCGGAGACCTGCTGTGGCTGGCCTGGGGCGCCATCCTTGCAGACCTGGGCACGGGGCACATCCACTGTGTCATGGGTCAGCTCCTGCCCAGTTTTCTTAAACAAAGTTTGCTCAAATACATCACAGAAACAACTCAGTTTTTACAGTTAAGGAGGGGTTTAGAAGAAATGTAGCTCATTTTTATCATGTGTTTTTCATCTGTAATTGTGTGTTGCAATGTGGGAATTTTCCAGAGTTGCTTGTTAGTCATTGCTGTCATTGTTGTTTGGTGTAAGGCAGCTCTGTAATATTTTGACCATTAGTCATTTTTCTGAAATAATACATCTGATTAAAAAGCCCCCACAGGCCGGCCCAGGGCCTAGTGTTAGCGGAGCTGTCTGCGGCGGGCCATGGGTAGGAGCCGCGCTGTACTTTGCCCAACAACAGGTTGCGGGGTGGGCCGTGGCCAGCCCCGTGGCACGTTCTCCTCCTCTCCCTGCCTCTGGCAAACGGATGGGAAAGAAGGGGCTGCCCCAGAGGCACTTCCAGTCGGAGCAGGGTGGGAGAAGTGACCCAGCTGCAGCCCACCCCCACGAACCCTCCGTCCTACCGACCAGCGGGGTGCCGTCTGTCCTGCTGGTCAGCTAGACGGAGTGAGTTGGGACTCCGTGTGCAGTGGAGACGGCTGAGTGCTGTCGCCTGGCAGCAAAGGCAGGGGCCGCTCAGTAGACATGAGGGATGCTTTGTGTAACTTCCCATCCTCTAGTCATTTATGCTCTTGCAAATTACTCTTCTGAAATGTTGGAGAGAAAGCCTTGCTTTCCTTTCTCCGTTTCAGGTTAGTGGGTCTTTTTTTTTTTTTTTTTTTTTTTTGTGGGTTT